TCAGGGGGTGTCAGTGATTGAGTTGTCTGGCTTTGGGGTGGGGCCATTACCCCCACTTTCCCATTAACTGGACTTCTATTTCCCTCTCATGGGAGGTCCAATAAAACCACTCTCCCAGCTTCCAGCAGATCCAACCTCTGGGCTCTGGAGGCCCCACCCACCCAATTCCTAGTGGTTCCACCTTGCTGAGGTGGTGGAAAAATCTGGGACAGGCTGAGTCCTGTGGCTCTGAAGCAGGAACCATGTCTACCACCTTCCCTGAAGCCTGACTGACACCTGCCCCTCATAAGTGATCCACCAGCCCCATCCTCCTAACTCCACCACAGGTTCTTTCAGTGATTGAGCCTAACAGACAGTTGGGAGGCAGAGGGAGGGGGAGGTGATCTTGTTGGGGTGCCTTGAGAATTTGCTGACCTGCCTCCAGACCCAGTTCTGGATAAAGCCAGCCTTGGTGTGCAGCTTTGTCCTTCCCATATGCACCCAAGCCCGGCAGAGCCAGCCGCAAACTGTGGATCACTTGAGCTCCAAACAGGTTGCTGAGGGCTGGGCACAGACAGCGTCTGACATTGGCTTGCACCAGAGTCTCACACAAGAGTCCCAGAAACAACACACCCAGTGGCCATCTTCAGACAATATCAGAGCAGGATCCAATAAGCTTCACAAACAACATGTCCAAAGGGAGATATTGGAGGAACCAAACCCTGCTGGGGCGAATTCTGCTTTGTGTGGTCAGCACCTGCACAGCAGCTTGCACGCCATGGTCGGGGTTAAGCCTCACAGTCAGCCAGCCTGATGGCTGATCCCACACACAAATGGGCCAATAGCAATCAAGACTCAATTACAACAGGAGGGTCCATTTATGGCACACAAGGGACATTCCTAGAGCGCCCAGCTCAGATGATCAAGGATACTGTGCCAGATTGCTATTGGCCCATATGATCTCACTTACACGTGAAATCTAATGAACAAAATAAACAAAGTGGAGATGGACTCATGGATACAGAAATCAGACTGACAGCTGTCAGAGGGGCAGGGGTGGGGAGCTGGGTAAGAAGGGTGAAGGGATTAAGCAAACAGGAAAAAAGAAGCTTGCACACAACAGTATGGTGACTGCCAGAGGGAAGGGGAGGGGATGGATGTAGGAGAGGGTAAAGTCATAAATGGTGATGGAAGGTGGCTTGACTTGGGGTGGTGAACACACACTACAGGTGATGTGCTGTAGGATTGTGTACCTGAAACCTATTTAGTTTTATTAACCAACGTCACCCCAATAAAGTCAATTTAAAAATTGCAATAAGAGCATATGCTTGTGCCAACTGCACCAAAACCTTACTTATACCAAATGTTCTAGTATTCAAAAATTACCAGTATAGTAGGTGTAAAGGACTATTTCCCATCTTAATGCCCTCTTCTCCAGTCTGGTATCTCCCCCTAGGGCCACCTGGATCCTTTGCTCTCAGCTGCTGCCAAGTAATTTCCCAAAAGGTGTCAACTGGTAGTAACTGGAACTGCCCTAACTGGGACTTGAAAAGCTGTAAGCACAGACTTGTATTAGGCAGCAGTGAGCTCCTAGTCTCAAGGAACTGCTGATATTTGGGTAGCAACTCCAAGACCTGAACATCTTGGTACTTGTATCACTTAAAAATACTAAAATTTAGGAAACCAAACCTCTTTTAAAGCTTACTATATACTCTCCCATTTTGCAAATTTTATTTCACTATTATTGTCAACAAAATGCTGTAAGATACATATTAATATCCCAATTTTGTAGATTGGAAACTCAAGGTCAGAGATGTGAAATCACTTGTTCAAGGTCGTTCTGCTGAAGTGGCAGGACCAGGATCTGAACCCATAGCTGGCTGCCCAGTCTGTGCTCTCTCTGCTCTTATCCTCAACTGGGGCCTCCTAGGGCTCCATAACACTGCTCTTCTACCCCATTCCCACCCTAGCACTAAATATATCTGGTGGCCCTTCCTCTTCAGTTAGCTGAAAGGGTCTCCCTGGAAGTTCCAGAAGGCTCTGCTCAGTGACCTTTTTTTTTTCCTCCCCGATAAGAGGTGAGGCTGGAAAGTCACCTCTAACCAGCATGGAGAGAAACACTGTAGAGGCCACAGTATGTTTGTGCCATGAAACCCTAGAGATAATTAGGGCAATATAAACGTAGGGTTTCAAGAATCAGATCTGGAGCCAGACTGCTAGCTTCAAATTTTGTTTCTACCACTTAGAAAACTTTATGATTTGGGGCAAATTTCTTCACCTTTCTGTGCTGTTTCCTTGCCTGTAAAATTGAAATAATCTTACCAACTACATGTTCTGATTTGGGGATATGTTTTTTAAAATGCCTTTAAGAACCCCGCAGCATCTGGGGCACAGTAAAGGCCCCATAAACATCACTAGAGGGGTGTAGTAGGAAGGCGGCCTCATTAGTTGAGGACCTACACATCCATTTGGGTCCCAGCCTGATGATGCACACGTGGGGACTGGGTTCCACACGCACGTGCTCAGCTCCAGGCATCGGCGCATGGGGCCCTGCACTGAAGACACTGGCTGGTGGGGACGGAAACAGTAGAGTAGGATCAGAGATGGGCAGAGCCAGCGCCAGCACCGTTGCTCTGTGTTCTGGCTATGTTCAGATATGCCTGTGAGTGGTAGGTGTTGTAGTTGTGTATTGATGTAGTTCTTTGGACTGTGAACATGTGGGGGGCATGACTCAATAGAACAATGTCCCCTAGGGATCCAGGGCAGATTGCTGATGACTGAGGCATACAACAGACATCTGAAAAGGAAGATGTAGGGCAACGTTCATAGGGTAACCTCCTGTCACCTGGCCCATCTGTGAAGCCCTAGAGCAGGCGTGGGGAACGTCTGGCCCGCAAAATCATTTGGTCTTGCCCTGCCAAGGCAACTGTAGGCGGGACCTGAAATTCAATTAAATCTAGCTTTTTTCATAGCTAATTTTTAAGTTGATAATTTTGTATGGCCTGTGAATGTTATAAATATCTTGGCAGAAAAAAGGTTCCCCACCCCTGCCCTAGAGCATGTTTTTTAATCTTTCTGGGATCAACCCCAACTGTGTGAGGGGCCCAACATATCACAGAATTTTGGAGGTCACCTTCCCCTAAGGCCTCTTGGTATCCCTGTTTCCCTGAATAGTCATCTGAGCGTGTAGGAAGTGATCCTGAAGCATCTTGGTTTCCCCATTGAAATCAGCAATCATGGGAGATCAGGGACAGGCCCCATCCTTGCAAAGTCCCAAGTTGGGAAGACAGGACTGGGGTCACGTACCATTCATATGTCCAGCCAGCCTTACTGTAATTGCTCAGGGACTCTAAGGAACCAGGACTGTGATGTAGTCTAAAAGCCTCATTCAAGAATTTAAAAATGTCACGGAGAACCTCAGTGCAGAGCTGCAAACAAGACACAACCCTGCCCTTGCAGATAGCACATTTCAGCAGGAGATGCTAAGCCACTAACTCGAGGGCAACTTATTTAATTACAGTTAGCAGTTAGGGCCAGGGAGAGGTACAGTTGTGCAACAGGGCATGAATGGGGATGATTACTGGAGTCAGGCCAGAGTCATCCTGTAGGAGAGCCTCAGGTGGACAGGGCCATGGCCACAGTAAAGGCCTGTGTGGGGAAGGAAGGGAAGTGCTTAAGGAACCACAGTACTTATGAGGCCACCATCCACAGAGCTGGCGGAAGTGGGGCGCAGGACAATTGGGGAGGCCAGCAGGCCAAGGCTCGGAGATGAGACTTTAGCCTGAAAGCAAGGAGATGCCAGGGGAGGGGCTGCAGTGAGGGGGTTTGATGTTCATGTTGTAAGGCTTGAGCCAGGCTTGGGGATGTGTGTGGGGAGGCTCTGTGAGCCAAGGTTTGGAGGTAGGGCCACGTAAAGCATATGTGGGGACTGGGAACAATCCTTGAGTAGAGACAAAATTTGACATGGAATAGAGGAAGCCAAGTGAGCGGCCATTTTAGGGATCCCTCACCACATACAATGGGGTTCCATTATTTACCATCTGGGCAGGAATGCCTGATGCCACCATCTTGGTTCCTGCAGCACTGACAGTAGCTGGGGTGCAGGTGGGGTGTGGTGACAAAGTGGAACGCATCAAATTCAGAGAATACTTCTCCAGCCAAGATTAGGCGATCCCATGTGGCAGCAGCAACAGCAACTGGATGACATGCTGGGGGGCCCCTGAAGGTGGTATTTTTGAGTGGGGGCTTGTTCATCCATTCACTAACTCATCCACTCTTCTATGCATCCATCAAGCCTGTGACAACACTGTTCCAGAGACCTGAGACGGGGTGCTCTTCCCACAGTAAGAGTCTGCCTAGGAGTGATATGGGGACCCAGGGGCTGGCAAAGAATGGAGCTAGAGCACTGAGTGCCAGTGCGCAGTGAAGGACCCAGCAGGAAGGCATGTTTCCCCATCCTGCTCTCTCCATTCATCTCCACCCCTCTGCTCCCATCACCATCCCCTATGAGCCAAGTTGATCCCATCTCCATTTCCCCCTCACCCCTACCTCACTCCCTCCCCTCTCCAAGCCCTGAGCATGTTCTGGACTGCATGAGACGGCTCCATCCCAGGGCCACAGTTCAGCAATGGCTTGCTCCTTCCCCTTCCTTTAGCCAGAGCTCCAGCCAAGACTCCCTTGCCACAGGTCTTGCCAGGTTGTAGCAACACCTCTCCCCTTCAGGCCCAGAGGCTCTCCTGGGACCCACCACACTCCATTGGCTGCCCAGCCCTCTCTAAGCACGCCAGCTGCACTGGACACACCACCCTTAAAGCCCCACTGCAAGCTCATATTTCCCAGCCCCTGAGGCACACAGCAGCTTCTCATCTTGGCCTCTCATAGCTTTTAATCTCCACCACAGTAGAAGGAAACTGGGATCTGACCAACAGGCAAACCAGGGGGTGGCTCTTCGCTGTAAGCATGTTCACATCCTGCAAGCGCCTGTTGGTGAGACGTATCCTAACCCTCACAGCCCACAGGTATTCAATGACCAAGGAGGGACATCTGTTTATTTATGGCACACCCTTTCTACCAGGGAACCCCACAATCCTGCTAGAAGTTTACATCACCTCCATTTTACAGTGGAGAAAACCAAGGCTCAGATTCATAAAAGGACATGCCCAAGATCACTGGGTAAGAGGTGGGTTGAGGTAGAATCTAGGCTGTTTAATTCCAAAGCCTATGATTTTTCTGACATTGGGTTGTGGGTGTGGAGGCACCAAGAGAGCCCCCGGGGTCAATGGCAGCATGGTGCCTGCACAAGCTGGAAATGTCTGTGAGATGCAGGCCTCAGGAGCGGCCTGGGTTGAGTGTCGCCCTCCACATCTGCAGCACAGAGTCCCGGCGGGTCGTGTAGGGTAAATGTTTGATGCGGAACCAATGTCTGGGAATGACATTCCCACTGGGCGTATACAGCTTCTCTCCAGGCGGGCCCAAGAGACTGCGCAGGGCCAGGTTGCCAGACAGAACCTTCTCATAGAACTCTACTCCACCCTGGGAATAGGCTGCAGACAGGGAGGCTGTGCGGCGGTCCAGCCAGGCTTCCAGGGCATGAGTGAGAGAGTCCGTGGAGAAGGCGTAAGCCACAAAGCCCGCCACTGCTGCCACCAGGTTGAAGGCAGCCCGTAAGTTCATGGGGCCTCCATAGAGACCCAGCGCATGCTTGGCACCCACACTCAATGCCCAAGTTCCTGCCAGGCAAGCTGGGGCTGGCAGGGCCTGCAGGGCAGCTGTACCACTCTCCAGGTACACCACCTCCCTGGCCAAGGCAAACTTCTGGGCATTATGGGACAGGGTCAGGGCATCTCTCAGCCGGGCACCTTCTGGGCTCTTCCAGTTCACTCTTTGCCCATGTACAACCACAGAGCGGTCAGTGTTGGTCACTGGGTCACCCAGGAAGCTAGCAGGGATGCCCACCACGGCTCCAGCAGGGAGTCTTGGGAAGCCAGCACTCACCGGATGGAAGGTGAAGGTGGTGAAGGCCTCGTAGCAATGGTCTGATGGGATGCCCATGTCGTGCAGCACCTCTTGGAAGAGTCTCTGTAGCTTTGGGGAGAGCAGGGCTGGCTGGCCCTGAGGCCAGTACTGATATAGCCATCGAACCACGGGATTTGGGAAGAGGTGGTACAAGATTTGGGCCCCAAAGAGGCCTGCACAGGAACCCACCAATAGGCCTGTCCTGTGTCTCTGCACAAACGCTGCGGCCCGCCACAGGGGACCTGCCATGAATGCTGCTATTGCTACAAACCTGGGCCAAGAAAAACAGAAGTCAGTCAACAGTTTCCTGGGTCTACCTGCTGACTGACCACCCTCCCAGGGCACATCCTTTCTAACTAGGTCAATACAACACAGTGGTAGAGCCTGAGTTCAAATCTCAGTTCCATCTCTGTGCATCAGCCTCTCCATCTGTGAAACAGGCACGTGACAATGGCCCACTGCTGGGGTAACTGTGATGAGTAAATGAATGAACACACATAAAACAATTAGTGTCTGGCACAGCAGTGGACACCCCCGTGATAATATCTGTGATTATTACTTTTATTCCCATAGCACTAAGTACCCAACTGCCTCACTCCACAGTGAAGTGCTATGAGCACTAATTTACAGATGGAGCATATGTCAACTTACTGAGTACTACTGTATGCTAGACAGTTCTGACAGCTTTACATTTATTATCTCACAACTAAATGCTCACAACTCCATGACCTAATTACTACTTTGCCCCTATTTAAAGCAGTGAAAACTGAGGCACACACAGGTTAAGTAAATTGGTCAAAATTACAAACTAGTAAAGTGGCAGTTAAGGGCTGAGTTGTGTCCACCCAAATTCATATGCTTAAGTTTTAACCCTCAGAACTTCAGGATGTGACTATTTAGAGATGGGGCCTCTAAAGAGGTGATTAAGTTAAAATGAGGTCATTAGGGTAGGCCCTAATCTAATATGGTGTCCTTATGAGAACAGGAGATTAGGACACAGACACAAAAAGGAAAGATCATGAGAGGTGACAAGCCAGAAAATGATCACCTACAAGCCAACGAGAGAAACCTCAGGAGAAACCAGCTCTGCTGACACCTTGATCTTAGACTTCCAACCTCCAGAATCATGAGAAAAATAAACTTCAGCCACCCAGTACTTGTCACGGCAGCCCTAGCGACTAATACAGGCACAGTATTTGAACACAGGTTGTCAGGCATTCACACCAAACTTCATTTCAGAAAAAATGTTAGCCCTGGCTGGGTGGCTCAGTTAGTTGGAGCGTCACCCCGTACACCAAAAGGCTGCAGGTTTGATCCCGTCCAGGTGCGTATGGGAGGCAATCACTGGATATCTCTCTCCCTTCTTCTCTTTTTCTAGAGTCATTAAAAAAAAAAAATCCTCATGTGAGGATTTAAATTAATTTCTTTTAATGCCAAATTGCAAACATATACAAAAGTAGACAAAATATTCCATCAGCTTCAATCATCAACTCATGGCCAATCTTGTTTCATCTCTACTCCCACTCATACATATTCCCCCTCCAACTGGATTATTTTGAAACACATCCTGGGCATTCCATTATTTCATCCATAAATATTTCAGAAAAATTTACAATCATTTAACTTTGGTTGAAGCTTACTATCTTTCTGTCTGTGAAAAGTGTTTGTGTGTGTGTGTGGGGGGGGTGTGTGTTTAATTAGCAAGTAAGTTGCTGCAAATAAGAACGTAGGGTACTTATTTCAATAAAAAATTCCTAAAGTCACAAAACCTGGCCCCCTTTTCCAAAGAGGAAACTGAGGCTAGGCCAGGAAGGGGCCCGGCCGAGGCCGCGATGCCCCGGGACCACCAGCGCCAAGGCCGCGCTCCAGCTCGGCAGGCATCCCTCAGGAAGCTGGGAGAAGGCCTTTCCGCGGCTCCACCCGCGCCCGTAGGCGATGCCGGGGCCTTGAACTCGAACTCGCCACCCGCAAGGGACCAGGGGAGGGGTTCGGGGCCCTGGGTCCGCACCAGCCCCAAC